TTGTGTAATTAGACTTAAAGAAGTCACTGAGACCTTGTGACAAATAAAATATATCGAAGGACTTACGAAGTTGAATGTAAAGTTTCTGCCTTCTCTTCCTGTTTTCTTGCTTTGGTCGGTTTCACTTTTGCACTTGTTTTTTCCTGTAGATGAAAGCAATGCCCCCCAGCTCAGCTTGCGTATTGTTTTTTCCCACCCATTTCTTAAGAAAAATGAACAACATCTGCCCAAGAAGGAAGACAAAAAAGAACTTTTTTTATACTTAAAATATTTATTGCTATACAGATGTTCGATATGTCTTGAAAGTTCTGTACAGTGACAGTGCACTGTAAAAAAAAATCAAGTTAATTTAGAAATTTTCAACTAAGCATTAATTAGTAACTAGTTCCACAGTAATTTTAAGTTCAGTCAATCTTCAAAGTGTTGCCTGAGTTGTTTATTTTTAGATGGCTCAACCTTTACTGAAATAGTTTTATATTCCATTCAACTAAAATTTTTTAATTGGTCAAACATTTAGAAAACTACACAAATTATATCAATTAAAACTTAAGCATTTATTCCATGTATTTCATATGTTTCATGTTTCATATGTTATGTCGTGAAGTCACTCATGCTCTTGCACGTGCATAATGATCTCAGTGTTGGCTGGATTCGTTTTTATAAGTTCAGTCAAAAATTGAAATTCTGAATGTTGATTTGAAAATAACCCTTCATTCAATTGGGTTTTTTATAGATATTTGTGTAGACTTAATATAATGTGTTTTTAATTAGCTCAACTTTTTCTCAATCTATTTCTCAATTTTTTTAGCTCAATCTATTTTTGCCCTTCCAATATTTTCTTAATTTGATTTTTTACAGTGTGGTTATTTGGTAATTTTTGAAAATGGGAGGCTAAAAAGTTAGAGGATGACATATATATATATATATATATATATATATATATATATATATATATAATTAACTCTTTCCCTCCATTGACGAGTTATCTCGTCTTTTAGAAGAAAACTGCATAATGTTACAGAGTAAAATGTTGATCCAGTAAGTGGTATATATCTGTGCAAGCTTTGGAGGTGTTGATGGAAGCGATTTACTGGATTTATGCTTTGATAATCGTACTGAATATTATCCAGATGTAGTTTTTGATTAAAAAAAAAATCTCTAAATTTTGCTCAAAATTATGCATTTTTATGAAACCTACCTATATTCAAGTGTTGATTTAAAAAAAATAATGTTTTAAGCTAAAATAAAACAGATTTTTTTTTTTTTAAGTAGAGGCTCTGATCTTTATTTTGGTGTATTACATATTCGAATATTCATACAGAAAAATATACTGGAGGCCATCCAGTTTGACTGAAAATCATCAAAATCGCTGGCAACTTTTAAAAAAAATGCTGGCAGGGAAAGAGTTAAGAGACGTGTAATATTTGTGCTTTTGAAGAGGTCAGGTGTAACACCTAGGACCAGTGAAACAAGTTAGTGAGAACTTTCTGTCGAACACATTCCTGTTCACTAAGCTCTTGAGAGAAAACATGAGAATTATGATTATGATACTTTTGCACCAACTTAAAAATGTATTGTTTTGTTGTAGTTTTTTCATTTTCAAATGGGCAAATACATTTGCATATAGCTGACTTTAGAGCAAGACATCAGCGAATAATTTTACATCATCGCACCATAGGCCCTGCTCACTGGTGCTCAGTCGCTTAAAGGCTGACACCTGTGTTCTTTGCATTTTGACAAACAGGTTCAACCGGAATCCAACATTGTCCTTTAGACCAACAAGATCTTACATTACATTAAATGACATGATCGTTTCTCTTTTTCCATTGTGTGAAGTAAATGGCACATTTGTATATTGATGGTTGAAATGACACTGCTTCCCTGAACAGGATCATTTTATGTCTGAATTGTTCCAGCAGTATCAATAAGCATATTAATTAACTGACTGCATTTGCTGGCTTTTGTCTCCATATTCACTCAGCCCTACTAACTAATGCCAGTATCAGCTCCTAAAATATAATAGTTACACTCTTAGTTATAATCTATCATCTTGTATGCATCAACTGCCGAAAATAAAAAAGTGAATAGACTTAATATGCTCAACATCAATTGTCTTTGTAATTTCAGAGTTTATTAGTAATGCAAATGTTGATAAAAGCATGCATGTTAAAAAAAGGAGCATTTATGGATGTATTTATGTAACGCCAGTCATCTAAAGGTCATCATAATAACACTGTATACATCATACATTTACACCTATGACCTGGAAATGAAAAAAAAAAATCAGATGCTTTTGAAAATAAGTAATGGATCCTGAAATTGAGCTTAAGTGTCATTCATTTCAGAAGCCATTGTAGGCCAGTTTTTCTTAACCCGGGATCTTCCGTATACTTTAAAAGGGCCTCAAAAGGACTTCAAGTTATTTAAAAACAACAAAAATCAAGATATTTCTTATTTCAGTTCACCTGAACTGAATCACTTTTATCTGATGTTTGAACTGACATATGTGTTGGCAGTGTGTGTACACAACCACCTTATAAAGATAAAATCCACCCAGTGATTTTTTTAAATCCTCACAAATAACAATCTTTCTCAGATCAAGCCATTCTCAGAATCGGGCCAGATGTACGTCACACAATCCAAGGCCCCTCCCACGATTGTTGATTGACACTGGTGTTTTATCACAGCTCCGCCCTGAGTGACTGTCATCAGTGCGCCATTGTTTCACCGCCGGAGCAGATGTAGACAAGAATGACTCCTAAGCGATTGAGGTGTTCTGTTGTTGGACGTAATAATGAACATGTCCTCATTTACTCCCGACATCTGAGCCGCTGAAGACACAGTGGATTACCTTTGTTTTTGAAGGGAATGCGTCCCCGATCTACAGAAGAAGTGAGTAAAGCGCAAATCACCTTTCCTAATAATGTGCTAATTAGCGAGTTCCGCAGCTAAATGCGGTTAAAGTTTACCGTCTCTCAGAAAACGGCTTGTCACCCCACGGAAGAGAGGGGCGGGATCAGCAGAGCTCATTAGCATTTAAAGGGACATGCAAAGAAACGGCTTGCTCTGAAAAGAGCTGTTTTTGACAGAGTAAAAAGGGTGTTGTTTTACACTACCATTGAGAAATTTTAACCAAAGTATGTTATAGAATTTTCATGAAGACCCTAAAGAATCATACCAACTTGTGGAAAATGGGCATCCGATGACCCCTTTAATACTTGTCCAATAAATCATTAACATCTGTAAATTCATTGGTCTGAATTACAATCATTTAGTCCATTTTGCTAATAGTAATTAGAGCATCAGATGTCCTAACCTCAACCCCAACCTCCTCCTCCATCATTTCCATCTTCATCTCCGTCCTCGTCCTCCTCTTCCACACTCACCCCGTCCTTCTTCTTCTTCTTCTTCTTCTTCTTCTTCTTCATCTTCCTGTCCTCTACTTTGTATTTGACACGTCGGATGGGGTCGGTCATGCTGCGCATTTTACCCTCGTCAAACTCCTCGTTCATCATGAAGTTCCTGTCGATAAGCTCCGCCCCTTCCTGCCAGTTGCGGTAGCAGTCCGGCCCCAGTTTACAGATTTCTTCCACGGCGTCGGCTGTGAGAACAGAGCAGTCCGGGCGCAAAACCACCACCCTGGGCAGATCCTGCACCTCGAACATCACACTCAGCTCCCTGTTAACGACACAAACACGTCACAAACTACGGCGCTCCTTCACTCAATATACTGCATCTGATGGTTACACACAGAATGTTAAACATTGTTAAACATGAACTTAAATACTAAAACGATTACAACATTTTCTTAATAAGTATGTGTTAGTTAATGTTCGAATTAAAGCTGAAACAAAATATAAATGATACAAACTTGTTAAATCATTTTGTTTAGCACTAAACAAATTCTGGAAATAAAATCAATCAAAACAAAGAGTGAAACAAAAATTAAAACAAAGCTAACTATTAATATTGAACAAGAAAAATGAAGAAAATTTACAAAAGCACGTAATTACAAAAAATTTAACTAAGGTTAAAATGAAAACTGAAAGTATAAAAATA